CCCCGCCCCCGCCGGCAGCAGCCATCCGGCGGGACGGAAGCTCCCCGTCGGGGCTGCCGTCACGCACTGCACTGCCAGGGAGCCAGCCAGGAGCACACAGCCCGCTGGCAGCTGGAGCTGAAGCGCACTGCCCCATGCCGCCGGGTAAATATTGACCAGGACACGCTTCCTTTCTCCACGCTCCGGGCTGACGCATGCAGGGAGCTTGTCGAGCCAAGAAAATATGGAAGGAAAAAGGTCTGCTGTCTTCCCATCCTATCTCCTTTCTGATCTGGCTACACCCTTCTCTCTCTCCCCCCCTCCACGCGCTCGCAGACACAGAAGGGAAACCAACTGGCTTCCTTTTCTTGGCTGCAGTTGACTTCCTTCCCTTTGAGTCCGGCAGCCAGGGTTAGTCAGAGAAACCTTTAAACTCTGCCTTGCAAACCGCAGCAGAGAACATAAAAGAGACAGAGGCAGTGAGACGGAACTGGAAGCCAGCAGCGGGCTGTCGGCCTGCGTTATCAGTGTCACATTTAAAAACCAACGCTGGAGCAGCCACACACCAAACCCAACAGGAACTGCACACACCCCACCACGCGTTCCACCCTGGCCTCAGAGACACAAACAAGTCTCGGCACAGGAGACATCCAAGTATTTATTTAGCTGTCCAGGGTAAAGCCCACACACTGTCCTTGGGGAAATTACGCATCTTCTAGCACTTCCCTGCCTTCCTCTGGGGGGGCCATAAAAGCCCAGCGTGGACCTCAAGGGCAAGGCACGCTGCCCTGAGCCACGCAGGCTGCAGAAGGGGCATCACACCGCCTGCGAAGGACATCCAGCAGTTGCAGCCCGGACAGACTGTCTCCGATTACCTTCTGGCGTGTGGCGCGTGACCCTGTGCCTCTCTGGGATACCTGGCTCCAGCTCTCCAGAGCCATCTCCAGAGGAGTGGATGGCAGATGCTGGGATGCTGCAAAGTGGCTTCCAGCACCTCCAGACCAACCTGATCAGTGGATGCCGCCTGCCGAGCCGTGGGCAGGTGGGCACGGGCCTCCCCACCACCTCCTAGCACCTCCAGTATCGACGCTTTGGTATTAAGGACATTATATAAATAACTAATGTCAACGTGTAATTAGAGAAGGGCCTGAAATAAAGCAGCAGATGAGGCCCCTCTCTGCCTGACAACATAGGACATGGTGTGGGAGAGCGAGCCAGAACCAAGGGCATGGAAAAGGGAGCTAGGCAAGAAAACCAGGAGTGCCATGGAGGGGCACCTCCTTTGGCATCAAGATCCTTTCTGTGGCTTCAGGCTCCACATTCATTACTCCCAGTGTAAAGGGACTTCAACAGACTGGTGGGGGGAAAGGAGTTATCAGAGCTATATAGAATAATACCCTAAGATAAGCAATTTCATATCCAGGAAAGTCCATTTGGGAAAACACTACCTTCAGAGAGCTTTTAAAATCAGCTCTAAAATGTCACAAGTATGGGGGTTTTGGCTGAATTCACTGCGGAGGCAACGCAGACAATGCAGAGAAATGTGTGTCTGATTGCAAACACGTCCTCCCTGCCCGGCTCTAGACCCATCACATGCTGTGTGTTAGGGGAGGAAGAGAGCGATGAGTTTGCAGGAAAAGCAAGGGGGGAAAAAAAAACCCAAACATTATGGGAGGAGAACTATGTCCACAGCTTCAAGGATCAAGACTACATTGGCCTTTGCTACTTCCCATTGCCTGGGACAGACAGCTCTATTTGTGGCCATTTTCTCATGCCTTCTTCCTCTTTGGCTTGATCATCACCCTTCAACCTTGGTCACTGGGGGGCCTTGTCTGCCCATCTCTGGCTGATCCCTGGATTCTGGTCTCCTGCTCTCACAGCACCAGCCTTTCCATCTTGTGATCTCCCCCCCAATCCGATTCATTCCTCCCCTTCCATAAATTCCTGCT